TTGGTAGACCACAAGACCTATTGGACAGCTTTAAGACAAAGGATTCTAAGATGATGCAAGGCAATATGGTTTTCATGATGTTGACATGTTCACCCAAATAATTTCAGCTCATATTGAAATGACTGCACATTTGATCCAAATTTGATCGCGCCTAATTTTCCAAGGTACATGCATGCTCAAAAAAAAACTAAATTTTATGCCTTATCCACTTCAAAGTTATTTTCATTAGGATTAMATCCTTTTCTCAAAACTCTACTAAGGTTTTCCTACCTATGAGTTATCTATTCTAACTCACAAACCTAAGCCATGCTAGGGATTCAAACTTACACCACAACCAAGTCGTAATCTCACTTCTAATCCTACCATTAGGTTTTCATCTAGGATAGAAATATGTCATATGTAGCTGGTCTCCTTTATGTTCAAATTGAAAATTCAAACCCTCACAAAGCACAAAATAGCCTTTTGATTTAAGTTTATCTTGATCCTAGAATTCTTAGTATCCTTATAGTTCAAGGAGCTATGATTAAAACTTCACTTTTCACCAAATGGGACTGATTTTGATGCTCCTAGCATGAGTTCAACATTCTCTTTCTTAGTTTGTTTGTCCCAAACACAAAATAAATGATCAATTTGCAAAAACATTCTTAACATATGCTCATGTGAAGCAAACACTTATAAATTCATAGTCCTAGACAAGATAAGAACATAATCTTATTTTTGTAGGTAAGTTCCTATTTTTGAAAACTTGCCTAACAAATTGAACCCTAGAAATTTGGGATCTAAGACACTATTCACTAAAATCCATATTTGAATCNGTTTTCTTGCCAAACTCTTTGAATCATACATTATTGCCCTCACTTTCTTTCTTTTTCTTATAGATTTTTACAGGCAAAACAATATAGCCGTAATTTAATCATTAGAGGTTGATAAATCCTTTGTTAAAACACTTTAAAGACGACTTCTAACATATTTCAAATGTTATCCCAAAGAGGAAATAGTCGTTAGATCTCAAATGGTTGACTAGAAATCACATGAAAAACTTTTCTTCACATAGTAATTAACTAATAGACTCTAGTAGTCGACTACATATTACCTAGACATTGTTGTCACAAGTARTTGATTACTGATTTTGGATAGTCGACTACTAGGTGATTCTAGTAGTAATTTGTGAAGGACAGTCGATTACTCACCATGTACGTCTCATTACAATTAGGCACTTTCTTTTCAAACTATTAGTACTCTCAATGAGTTCGTTATCATCAAAATATGTAAGGTCAACAATAATTTCACTCATAGTTAATCTCCTTTTKATTCATTATGCTTAATAGTTTGTATAATCTCTCTTGTAAAATTTATGCTTCTACTGCATTAATATCAATCATAAGATGTTTATTTTCATACAAATTGCAAATTTCTCTTTAGTTTTAGTAATTTAAGAAGATTATTGCCAAGGAACAAAACAAAAGAAGGAAAAGCTCAAAGCATCAATTCTGATAGATGGATGCTCGTGTTTACCTTCTACTACAATGCTTTAAAGACCTAACAAGACATGAACCAAAAACAAAGGTCGATTTGGCCCAATTGAGTTTACCAACAATACAACCCCAAGTCAAGCAAGCTCAATAGGAGATGCATATCATGAAGCTAAATAAGATTATAGGAGCAGTGATAGAGAGCTTAAATATTCAGTCAAACTAAAGGATAATGCAAATGTTGATTCAACTAGGGGATCATTCAATGAAAATTTCTTAATCAAGAGTTAAACCTTGGGCTGCTAGAAATCTTTTTTCACCAATCTATTAAGTTATTCTGCTTTGATATCACTTGTTGTCTAGTCAGTCTAACCCAAGAGGGGGTAGATTAGGTTCTCTCACTTTTCTATGCCAATTAATCTCCTTTTGAACCTTTGAGTGTAAATCTTGTTCTATGAAGGAGTAGTGATACAAAGAACCATGTATCCAAGAAAGAGTGTGTCAAACAAAATGAAACAATAAGAAGAATACAACACAAGATTTATATTGAGGTTTAATCAAACCCACCCTATGTTCTCTCCCCAAGTACACCACCTAAGCATTTTCACTATAACCAACTGGACTTTCAAGTGCCAGCTAAACCTTACAACTAGCAAAGCTTTTGGGTGCCAACAAGACTTAAATCGATTAAATTTTTTTGTGTCAACCAAATCTAAATAGTTGGCTTATAGGTGCCAACAACTTAATATGGTGTTCTCTCTTGAACACCCAAAT